CAGAGACCTGAACAAAGCCTGGAAAGCCAGTCGGCTGGACGCTTTGATCTGGTTCGCGACGTTCACGTCAGTAGTCGTCATCGACATGGATTGCGGTCTCGCCATCGGCGTCGCAGTTTCCCTCTTGACTTTATTCTGGAGGAATCAACACGCGTATGCTTGTGTCTTGGGGGAAATCCCAAACACCAGCATTTATGTTGACGCCCAAAGGTTTTCTGGGGTAAGATTGATGTCTGATGATGTCGGGCAATGGTGCCATATACGGAATTTACTCGAGTACCAGCACGTGCCCTCCAGTAGGGTGCACACAGGGGTTTTTCAGTTGGAGATTTTGCTAAAATCTTATACCTGAGTAAGACGCGTGCCCCAATTTTTAGTGAATCTAAATCCAAAAAGTTTCGAAAATAAAAAAAAATTTGACTTTAGATATGAATTGAATAAAAATCTGATCAATTTTCAACTTTTTCAGTATAAGCAAGTTTTCTTGGTAAATTTGTTCCAAATTTCTCGATTATAATTAAGTATAATGCACACATAACTTCCTAAAACTTCTTTAAAACTTTGTACTGTACCTGCTTATGACGCACACCCCTTTTTTCTTCTGAAATTTGAGAAAAAAGGTGCGCGTGGTACTTGAGTACATACGGTATCCATTGTGAATTACAATCACAAAAGAAGGCAAAATTGGTTTATAGATTCAAAAATGAAACACATCAATCAGCTGTGGGGAGCAGCTGGGATTTCATTAGGAAATCCTAAAAAGATAGATGGATAAATGTATTTCACTTTTCCCCAAATTTATTAAACAGATTTCACAAAGCACAGGTACAGTACATTAATTTCACAGAGAATCACAGATCAATGTTTATGGCTTAAAAGTTGGAGACAGACTGACTGAGAATTCTTCTCCATGAGAATCTGTGCTGCTGCACCTGATTGGTTGAAACTCTTGAAAGGCACTAATATGCAATTAACATGGCTGCCATCTAACAGCAGTCTAATTTGAGTATTCTTGTATATTCTTGAATGTATGTGTGTGAGTATAGCGGTACGTTAAGGTATCAAATCATTCTGTCACATATCCATTATCTTATTGTTGATCAGGATTTCATGAATTGCATGTCAGGAAATACGCGGGTAAAGACAAAGCAGATGTTAAGCGCTTCTCTTGCTGTCATTAAATTTCTTTATAGTGTTCTGTAAAAATAAGTTAGATCATGCTTTTACGAAAAAAATAGAAAGGTAAATGAAAGATGAAGATCTTTAATTATCATTCAGTCAGATTTTGACTGCGTGCGTTTGATTATTTTGATAGAATTATTCCAATGCGAGAAAAAGCAGAGTATTGCATTATTCTGAAATATTTTTTTAGTCATTACTCTTACTAATCTGCGGTTGAAGTTTGTTGGAAACGCTTCGTGTGATTGGCAATATTTCAGTGCACCCAGGTTTTGTTTTACTGTGCTGCACGGTATGATTAATTAAGGGGGGAAATCGGAAAGTCAGACAGTGCCGAAATTACCTACAATTTTTCATATTTCCCCTCACAATTAAAAAGCACTCTGCCAAATTGAGGTGATTTACCTCTGTAAAAATAACCGACCCAATTGCTGACAAGAGAAGCAATTGTCTTTCAAAAATTACGCATGTCCTATACTGTCTTTAAAATTATAATTTTCTGCTTTGAAGGAATATCATTTTTCACGGAAATTCTAGGTGCAATTAATCTTTTCTCAAAACTGCAACTTTCAAGAAATAGAGAGATCTTCCTCTAATTTTCAAAAAGAAACAGAGAGACATTCTATCAATCTGTTGGTTAAAAGGGATCACGAAAGCTTTAATAAAATAAGACGGTTCTGTCATATATTTAAAAAAAATTGACCACAATATGTGCATGATACGAACTTAATTTCATCTTTTGATAGAATAATGCAGTGCCAATTCAAAGATTTAAATTACACTAGTCATCTTTATTTGAGAAGTTGTTTTGAAAGAAAGAATATTTTACACATCATTTATCGAGCTCACGATGCATAAACTATAAGACAAAAAAAACATCAATCGAATTGAAGTATTTAAAGCATAATATCCAACGACAGAAATGTACTGTGTCCTGGTATAAATATGTATATGAACCTCGGAACTGCGAAAAAAAATCACTAAAAGTTGAGGATTCAGTTCGTATATTAGTGGGTTGTACAAGTTATTTTTTTCTAAAACATACACTTTCATAATTTTTTGATGGCAGCTAATTCATAGGGGTGAAAGAAAATTGTCCACCTCGAAAGAAAAAAGAGAAGTGTGGCAAAAATCACAAAAAAGCGATAAAATTCAATTTTTTGGAGCATATGCACTGCAAAAATGTGAATTAAATAAGGACTTTATATGTGGGGACGACTTCGCAAAAAATAAAAGCATATCTGCATGCGTGGGATAAGCCTTCTGGAAAGCATTAGGCAAATTAGCTAATTCCTTCCACATTATATCATCATATAGGCCGAAACTCGAATAGTGCACTGCAATACAGTACTGTATATTGCATATATAGATCCTAGTTGAGATATTTAGTGCCTATAAAACCGACGATTTCCAAGAAGAAAAAAAAGGGCTTAGAATAATCGAGCAGACACTCGTTCGAGCACTTATAAAATTCTCAATTTATCTCAATAAGCAAAATATCCCACAATAAATAAATCTGGCGCCAGGCATTTTGAAATTATGAAATATTTTTTTGCAGGCTGTCGAAATACCGAACCACAAGATATTCCACTTTGGTGCTGGTCTGCACTTCGCAAACAAGGACTACTTTAGAAAAGTTTTGCTCCAACTGACCGGCCTCGATCCGCTCAAGTGGAACGCGGACGTGATGAAGGCAGCGAAAAGTCAGAAGAAGCCGAAAGAAAGCAGACTGAGGAGAATTTCAAAGAGAATTTCCGAAGGATTTCCAAAAAGAAACGAATGCTTCACCAGTTGTTGCACTTGCAGTGACAGCGACAGCGACGTCGCTGATAATAAACTGACGGTTCCTGTTATTGCTGTAGAGCAAACAAATGAGGTTCGAAAATATTTTTGGACGTACGAAATATTTTGTTCTGCAACGAAATATAAAGAAACCAAAATGGACGACATTCGAAAAAACATGCCCAGTTTTTGGTCTGAAACAAAATGCAATTTTTCGAATTATGGGACCGTTTTTTCATTCAAAATCAAAACTATGCTGGGCGAAATTCGCAGGTTAAAATGTCTTATTGAAAGATCATTTTTCGGAATACGCAATTTTTATTCTCAATTGATATCCAAGTGGACAGCATTTGGAAAAATGTGTTCAGTTTTTAGTCCGAATCAAGAATAATTCCCACAAAAATCTTTCTTTGAAAATTACATACTTTTTATTTGAAACCAAAGTGGACATAATTTGTACGTGTACATAAAATGTGTTCAGTTTTCGGTCTGAAACAAAATTGACGAAGACATTTTACTAAATATGGGCTTCTTATTCTCATTTAAAATCAAAGTCTGAAAAGAAATGTTCTAAACAAGAATGACTTTTCGTAATGACAGTCTTGGTCGATAGTGATCATCATCATTGAATAAAATGCATTCAGTAACCGAGCGCAAAAAATGCGAGGACAGATTTTCTTCTGCGCGATACATTTTTGCACTACGGCATTAAAAAAAATCCAGAAAACTCGCCTGATATGAATCAGGAGTATTCAATTTTTTTATTATTTTTCAGTTCGGTGAATGAAAAAAATTCTCAGTTTATCTTAAAAATTTGCCAACAGGAGCCCGAGGGGCCGGAAAACATTTATGAAATCAGAGAAGTCAAACTGGACAAGAGGGCTTTCTCAGGATCAGCAGGTGCTGGGGACAGTTTGGCTCTGCCAACTTCTACTGGACTCACTGTTCGTCGCAGAAGCTTCAAAGTAGATGCTAAGGATCACCGATTACCATTCAAATATCTTCTGATTGACCTCAGTGCGATCAGCTTCATTGACATTGCGGGCATGAAACTTCTTAAATCGCTCATTCAAGACTACGAAAGGATCTGCATCAAGGTTTTATTCGCTGGTGCCACAGGTTATTTCATTAGCTGATCTGCTTCAAAAGAGGGCATTTGGGAGACCTCATGTCCTTTTTTTTTTTTATAGAGCCTGCTTTGAAAATGTTCAGGAGAATGAACTTCATGGAAGAAATACCAGCTCACAGATTTTTTCCGACGGTTTATGATGCAGTGGTTTCTTCCAAATTCAGAATAAGGGGAGGTTCGTCGCGACACGGCCGACTAGAGGCAGTCTCGGAAGTTGAGGAGCGCTTATTGGAAAGAACTGAAGGCGAAGTTCAAAATTAGTCCATCATATATTCTCGCGCTGCATTGTAGTTAATTCGGAATGTGATATAATTGCAGTGTGAAAAAAAATTACATCGTACTCGCGGAAGGTTTTTGTGCTTTCATTTGATTCCTTTACACCACAGATTAATGCACAAACAATGAGGCATCACAAAAATGCTTAATGAGGTTGACGCATGTTGAGGCCTCGTGTCGTTCAACTCTCCCATTTGGAAGATATGACTACCGGTTCCAGTCTGAGCCACTGAGAGGTAAATGTTGGGTCCAGTCCTGTATGAGGTTGGGTATCATTCGTCCTACGTTCTCTCTACGGGATATAAATTTTGTGTCTGTGTAAGCGTAAATGCATGCTGAAGTTCACAAAAATTTAAATTCACCTGGATTCACTTTTTATTAAACTTTTGATGCAATTTTTCGCTGTGAAACGAAGTATACTGTGATGTTCTGAAAACGGAGGAATTACCTCCTGTTCGATACACGACAGAACAGTTCCATCCGTTCGAGCCGTAGCCTGGCTCCTATGCAGTCCTCCGTGGAGCCGCGCGGGCGACGGTCGATGTTAGGGAAGGAGCGGAAGAAGTGGAATTTCGTATTGCATTATTCCCGAAGTCACGGAGTGACTGGAGTCATTCGTACGCATGGCTAATGCTTGACTTCTTTCAGCTCCAGTAATGCAAACGCGGCATGAATTGAAGTGACTGATGTGCGGAAATCTGGCCAGCGAATCTGAATTCGTTCGGAAAACGGGAAGGAACTTCCTTTATGTGATCGTTCAGATCCATAGTGTATCATGATCTCGTGGCGCGTGAGGAGGTATTTTATCCCGATTGTGATCATCGCTGTCGTGGGCTGCTTTCTTTTCTTCGTCACCGTCTCAGAATCTGGTAAGTGTTCATCGCTGGTCCTTATAAAATGGTCGCCTCATCCCTCTTGTGGAATCTCTTTACCGTATGAAGTCATGTACCCATTTCTTCTGATATCGATCTGCTCCAAGTGGAACACTGCTATGCATTCGCCGTTGTGATCTACATCAAGGTCTAAGAATCCCTGCGTTCGGAAAAGGAGCTCGTGAATATTATTAAAACGATTTTAGGTGTATATTCTCTTGTTCACGAATGTTTGTTGGGTGTGAAAATTTGTTTCAAACAAAAAAGCGGGGTACTCGTCTCGGCACTTCATGCTTTGATGTCGGAAGCTGCATTAGCGCACCCGTGACGGTAATCAAGGTGGGTATCCGGTGTGAAACCAGCTGCGTTCACTCGGAGTTGCCTGGTCCCTGACATGCACATCCGCTGGAAAAAGGTTGCTCAATGTTCACATACTCGCCTGTTTTTCGTTTACTTTAGTCTCATCCAGCCATTTTACCTCCATTAATACTCAATTTTGCGGTGAAGCTCTCTTGTGCGCCACGCCCTGAAATGTTCATCGAAAAATGGCCACCTGGGCGCGAAACTGTTGGGTTTGTTGAACTGAACGCGGAGTCGCGGACTTCGATTTCTTATCTAAAGTAAGCGCATGTTCAATAGGGAATGAACGGTGTATCAACAGGAACATTTTGGCTGAAAATGGGAAAGGGGAAATTCGTCATCTTTGCCGTACACTCGTTTTTAAAGATACATGTTTTAGGAATGATGACCAATTCCCTTGTGTGTATTCATTCGCTCATGATTAACGCGACTAAATCAGACCGAGCATTTTGGTTCTTTCATTTCAGTTTTGTTTTCCTCAATTTTTCTTGTTGAACTTGCTTGAGTTAACTCCGTTTGCAGCGCATTCCAGAGAGGAAAACTTATGCAAATATTTGCCTACCTTTCATCCCAACATGAACTCACTGTTCGCTTCGTGTAAGAACGCATCGCAGAAAATCATCTCTCTGAATTCGGTTTCAAACGGCTATTTTTAGATAAACCCTGTGATCATGAATGCAGTCTTCCGTACTAGAAATTTGTCATTCTGGATTGCGTGCCGTGGGATTGAAATGGATTTTCTCTTATCGCGTGTGAAGTCGAAATAGTTTTCACGTAAGGTTATTGACAATAAAGCTTTTGCTAATGCGGAATGAAATAGATGGAAGGCCTCTGCTTCTCTCCCATCAGCGTGGGAAATCGCAGGCTAAGTGTCATCGCGCATGAAATCGTCGCAGGGATTATATCTTTCGCTGTTTGGCATTTATGGTCGATCTCTCGTCTTTTGAATGATTAGATTGTGTTATTGACTGGATTTACGTGTAAGTACAATAGGTATAGGACATTCCGGACCTTCGATGTTCTGTGCTGTACAATGCTAGCCGATTTTGTGAGGATTCGGAGTTTATACCGAAAGCAATTCCACACTTCGCGTTATAAAAATTACGCTACTGTAGGCATCTCAATTTTGAAAAGCAATATCTTGGGAGAAACCTATGTACATTGAGAATTATTGCCTGTGAAGAAATGAAGTACTTTATACTGTCGTCTTGAGAGGAATTCCTCGTGTTCTGTGACGTTTGGACGGAGAGCGTCTCGCACTCGAGAGAGCATGCCGTATACAGTTCAGGCGCGTACCTCTGCAACGAAGTTCACTTTACAACGAATTTTTCGTAGTCCCTTAAATTTCGACCCCGTACATTGTCGTATAACATGCGTAACGGACCAACAACGACAAAAGCGTTGAAGAGAATCATTGAAGACAAGTAGAGAGAATCCACCTCTACATATTTTTGCTTGAGCGGTCATGCCTTTTGAATAATGCTCGACTCGTTGCACAATTCGGTAAACTCAGTCATTGGTTTTTTTCCATCGTTTGAATACAAATTTCGAGACGTAGTCTGAATTTAGTCAGTCATGGGAACTCATGGCTAACTATTGTACGCATAGTCAGTCATGGCTAACTATTGTACGAATTTTTCGAGAGCAAGCCTCACCTATCACAAGAAACTGTGTCCAAAAACTCGATCCTTTCTGTCCTCGAAATATTCGTTTCGGAACACATCATCTTTTTCTGTGTGAGGCAAGACTAGAAGATATTTCTCTGCATGCTTAAAATAAAGAACAATGTTTTCTGATTATTTTTATTATGTATGGATAATGTGCTCGCGTGTGTACGCAACTTACTTTTTCTGAATTTGCGGAAGGTTAATGTGTCGGACGGATGCATTAGAAATAAGACTGACGAATCGAAAAAAAGGCGTTTGATCGCTTAGTAACCGTGGAAACGTTTGTTTCCACGTTCACACCTTTTTGTGCACCTTGGGGGCTTAAAAAAGGGATTGATTATTTATTCATGAGTATCTTGACGATTTATTTGCGAGTATCCGCTTCGAATTAAGTTTAATTATAATTATACTCAATCATGTGAATTTTCTTCTTTTTTCTTTCACCTGAAATGGTGAACGAAATGGGCTGAATTGCGGCGTTGTTGCTTGGGTGATCGAAGAGTCGCCCGCGATAATGGCGAGTTTTTTTTCTGTCTATGTAGCAAGAAAAAAATTAACTGTAACATATATTGTTGCCACTTTTTTACAATTTGAATTTGAAATGTAGGTTTGTTGCGTAACTGAATTTATGACATCTTAGATCAATCTGTCAAATTGGTTGTTGCGGAAATGTGCAACCACTCGAATATTTACTGCTGCATGTCCTGGAATCCTTAAAAGTATTCATTTCGTCGCAGAAATACTGTATTTTACAGGTGATCGGTATGAATACAAATAACCGAAAATGTTCAAGTGAATACGCTCGGAAACAGTTTTCTTTTTTTTTCTGATGATACGCTGTACTGTTATCATCGTAATATGGTTTCTAGAACAACTTTTTCCGGAATGAAAAATGATCCTGAGGCACAGTATTTGAGAAATGCAGTCATATTGAATCGTGATCGTGTTGGTTGGAATATTTTGGAAATTATTGGTTCACTTCTTCAGTATAATTTTTGGAAAACATTTTTAAAAAGCGAACGTAAAACAATGCGTCTTCGATATGCAAGCTAACTATCATATTTTTTTGTAAAGTAGAATGCATATCAGAATCGATTAAATAAAATTTGCGACCCGTATGTATGATTGAAGAAATCAAATACGTTCTCGTTCGAAATCCTTATTTCCGAATCGATTTTGATTCTCTTATGTTCATTTGTTTCGATTTGGTCTATTCTTCTCTGCGCCAAAAATTTAAGTTTTAAATTCACACTTTTCCTGCAGGTATTGGAAAGGAAGTACTGTACTGTACTTCAAAATTTCCCAAAAGATATTATTGTGCTTTAGCTTAATGTAATTTTAAGTAGGTCGCTCTTTATTGTTGATGTTTGACTGATCTCCGTTTTCTCATGACAAATATCCATCATTCTTGGTGGATATTGAGTGCAAGTCTGATTGTGTTCGGTGGTTAACCCACGTACTTCACACGAGTACGATTTCTATTTTGACAGTCGTGTAATACAGTAATTCGAAATTCTTCTCTTCATGGCATTGATGTACGCGAACTCGACGCGTTAAACAGTCTATTTAAATTAAATGTGTCAAATTACGGGGAGCAGAAGAAAAAGCTGTCCGTCCCTTCACGAAGATTATTTATTTTCGTATATTATCGCTCAGTACAGTATCAGTTTCGTCTTCTTTCTCTGTCTCAGCATTATTCAGGTGCCCTGAAAAATTCGATAATTCGCCTGTTCGGGAGCTGCTTATGCAATAGTTGAACAAGAAGTCTGCGTGGATAATGAAAATTGTTCTTGCGAAGTTGTCGTGGAGGGAGAGGTTGTGTAATTCAGTCACCGAAACTGTTCCTTGTTCGAAATTAAGATTCTGTATTTATCTTCTGAACATTCTATGCTTCGAAGTTTCATGCTTTGCATTCATTTGTAGCAGCCGTCAGTTATTCCGTGAAATGCACGAGTTGCCACAGGAATCAATTCGTCGCCGAAGGTTGATTTCTTTCAATGACGTTGGGTAACACCAACCAAGAGAAGTAAATTCTTGAAAAAATCAGCCTGAGCTGGGCATTTTTAATGAAGCAGAATTGAGGTTTGTGTTGTGCAACGTTATTTCACGAAGTGAATTCCCGAAAGTGATGCATGGTTTATAAAACTTTCAACTCAAAAACAAAATATATTATCGAATACAAACGCGCAAGTCGAGGAAATTCATAAGTGATATCGGGCAATTAACGCAACAGTTCGACTTGCTTCGCGATGTGGTCAGGAATGAATCGATGCGTTTAGGTTTTCATGAATTTTTTATAGCGCAGCACAGTACTTGTTCTGTTGGGTCACGCCTTCAATTAGTTGCTGCGATTATTTCAAATCATGAAAACGTGCGCATCGTTCGTCTGGTTTTCTTTTCGTGGAAAATTACTTGCTGTGCAAATGTTTGCTTGGACCAGTGTTGGGAGATTTGTTGCTGAGAATTTTCTTTGGTTCTCAATCAGCAAAATTCCATAACTGAACTTGCTTCCAGTAATATCTCGTTAGGAACAGTTTTTTTTTTTAATTTCGTTTCAACAAACAAATTTTAATCGCTGAACTCAGTATAACGGATTTTCCTTGATTACGTGTGCATAAGGAGTGCACATTTTCATCAATTGGCACAAAACGAGGAAAATCTAATTTGTGCATCATTACAAATAAAAAATGATGCACTTCATGTTCATAATATGTTTTAAATTATAGGAAGGATAAAACATGACTCTCTTTTTGGAATTTATCTATCTTTATTTTAGTACAGCATGTAGGAATGGCTATTTTTTCAAGTAAACATTCTGTTTGATAAAATATTGCTCTATTTCAGGGAACATGTACTTTTAATGAATAAATGTCCGTTTTATGCATCTATTGTCTGTTTGTTTCAGTGCTTATTTCAGTGAGATGTTTTTTTTAGAAAATTTAAATAAGTGAGTCTGAAATAAGGTAAGTG